GTGTTACGAGTGTGAGCAAGGAGGCAAGGTTAACGGCTGCGGGCTCTCTCCACATATCAGTAATTATACGTAATAACAGCCTACGTGAGTATTTCTTACCTAATCCACGTGTAGAACTCCCACATGATATATGCTGTTTCCTCCCCCCCCACACAAAACACAATATTGAGACTGCAGATTCCCATCTGATACATTCGTACTTTAGTTGGCAAAATCCCAGGTAAAAACCTATACATAGTTTCCCTCACCCTTGACTTCAACCGTAACTTACTGAATACTCCCCAGATCGTGTCCAGTTATATAATGGAAAAACAGTCTCCCCTTCCAACACCTCTTGACACCTTTCCAACCTCCCCAAAACACACGCCTTTACATTTCCTGGATTTCTTACTTGTAATAAGTATCTTAACATACTCATACACTCCTCTAAGTCCCTACCCCCCCACACACCACCTCACATCTTCCATCACATCCCTCACTCTGACACCAGTTTCCCCACCCAATCTCAGATAACAATGCTTCACGTACATGCTCTTCAGTCTGGTACCCAAAGGAATTAAACCAAAACCCCCCTTCGTCAGCGGTGTCATTACAACCGTCTGCCTCAGCCAATGACAACCATATCCCCATATAAAATTCAGTACTTTCCTTTGCACTTGCCGCACATCTTTCGCCACCAAGGGGTACACCACAGCCACGTGCCACAATTTAGGATAAATGAGTGTATTAACCACAATGACTCTCTGTTGTATAGTCAAACCACTTGTTCTTATTCCCCCTAACCTAAGCAAGACCCGTTGCACTACCCTTTTAGAATTTGCCTCTCTAGCCCCCTGCGCTTCCCCTCTGTACAATACTCCACAAATTTTTATCTGCTCTACGACCTGCCATCCATACTTATTTCCCAGTTCCCTCCCATCCATGACCCCACCTCCGTAATTCGACTTTTCACTATTAACACTCACACCTGTTGCTCCACTAAATATTCCAACAATTCTGTTTACATTCTTTAACCCCTCCTCTCCCCCACTAAGACCGTCGTGTCATCCACATAACCAACTATACCCATAGCACCCCTAAGTCTTACCCCCCCTCACTTGCAGACATGCAAATAGGATCTGAGACATGGGCATCCTGCCTCAGCCCCCTACCCATACTAACCATCTTTCCCACCCTTCCATTTATTTACACTCGTATTTCTGCACCTCTATATAAAGTTTCCGTCCACTGCACAATTTCCTCACCGAAACCCATCCTCCTCATAATCATCCATAATGTCTCTCTCTCTACACAATCATAAGCCGCCTTCCAATCCAAAGCAAGAACACCTCCGCCGTCCATCCTACGCTCCTCTATATAACCCTTTATCCTCCCATGCCCACTAAACAATGTTCGCCCTGGCACACCCATCTGTCCCATATCTATAACCTTCCCAATTACTTTACGCAACCTATTACCTAAAACCTTGGCAAACAGTTTATAATCCCCGCACATTAATGATAAACCTCTATAATCTAGGATGTTATTCTGTACTTCCCCCTTTGGAACCATAACTACTACACCTGTCCTTTGTGTTAGACTCATGCTTCTCTTATCCTTCATCACATTCACCAACTGCACCAAGAATTCCTTCATGACATCCCAGTTGCTCAAATAAAATTCATTTGGGATTCCATCTATCCCAGGTGCTTTCCCGACACTCATCCCTTTTAAAGCCGTCCACACTTCCTCTTCATCTATAGGCCCTTCTATCATCGCTCTATCTGCTGACTCTAGGTTTCTCCATATCCCCTTCTCTAAAATCTTCAGATCTCCTATCTTTATGTTTCCCCCTCTCATATATATCTCAAACCACTTATCAGCATAACCATTCATACTTTCCGTAGTTACTAACCTCTGTCCCATCGTATACCCCTCCACATCCGTATGTACGTCCAACTTCATCATAGTCATTATCCTCTGTCGTGTCCTTTAATCGCCGCAATACACAGGCGGATGATTATCTCCCCATAAAACATCTTCCAATCCACCTTCCAATCTCTCACCATCAAATGTTGCATTCTGCATTTCCATCAATTTGCGCTTTGATGCTCTCAATCTCTTGTACTAGGATAAACCCCACTAAAACCTTCATAGCACTGTTTCAGCTGCCCCTCCAAATATCTCTGTAAGCCATATTTCCATTGACTTACCTCCTTTCCTTTCCTCATATAAAAATTTTTGATTCCTGGTTTAGCATATTCCTCCCACCATCGTAGTATATCACCTCCCTTTCTCCCCTTGGTCCACTCATTTGTTCACCACTCAACAAAACTAACACCAGGTTGTTAGGTAAGACACATATGCAACAGTTAGGTATCTTTATTTCGAAACGTTTCGCCTACACAGTAGACTTCTTCAGTCGAGTACAGAAAAGTTGATAGAAGCAGAAGAGACTTGAAGACGATGTAATCAGTCAATCACCCTTGAAGTTTTGAGGTGGTCAGTCCCTCAGTCTGGAGAAGAGTATTGTTCCATAGTCTGAAACAATATGGAGTGGAAGTGACAGGATGGAGCCTTATATACCGCCAGGAGGTGAGATGTAGGCTACTAGTAGAGGTAAGAATGTTGTCGTTGGAAGGTCAGATCCCTCTCAAATCCAGCCATTCTCACTAGTAGAAGTTGACAAAGTTGATTTCAGGTCTGTACCAAGATACCCTTGTGTTGCAGTGTCTGACAGAGTGAACATTCAAATGGTATAATATACCGACAGGTTGTTAGGTAAGACACTAGTGAGAGGGACCTGACCTTCCAACGACAACATTCTTACCTCTACTAGTGGCCTACATCTCACCTCCTGGCATTATATAAGTCTCCATCCTGTCACTTCCACTCCATATTGTTTCAGACTATGGAACAATACTCTTCTCCAGACTGAGGGACTGACCACCTCAAAACTTCAAGGGTGATGGACTGATTACATCGTCTTCAAGTATCTTCTGCTTCTATCAACTTTTCTGTACTCGACTGAAGAAGCCTACTGTGTAGGCGAAACGTTTCGAAATAAAGATACCTAACTGTTGCATATGTGTCTTACCTAACAACCTGTCGGTATTTTATACTATTTGAATGTTCAAAACTAACACCGTCCTCCAGCTCATCTAACAATCTCACATTAAGTTTCCAGTAACTCATTTAATGCTTTGGTAAACCTCCCCATCCCACATCCACGACCACTCCTCTATGATCTGAAAACACAACGTTTATAATTTCTGTATTAGCAACCTGTAACCCGGGAGAAGCATAAATACGGTCTAATCGTGCCGCATATCCTCTCCTCACATAAGTATGCTCCACGTTCCACCCCTCCCCCCCTCACTACATCCGCTAAGTCTGCTCCCCCTAAAGCATCCCGTAGGACCCCCAACACACACCCGGCTCCTCTCAGCTCCACATCCTTCCTACGGATTACACAATTCCAATCCCCCCCAAAATAATGTATATATAGGAAGCCCTCGCATATGATAAATAAGAACATCCCTCACAAAATCTTCCTTTACGCGCCTATTGCTATCTGCAGGCATGTAAACACTTACTAAACACACAGGAACCCCACCCCATGTACCATCCACCCTTACTAGTGTCCCATTCCCCCCTTCTTCCCAGTGTAACATTTCAAATAGACTTGTCTCTGCTATTAAAACTGCAGCACCTCCCTTGAGTTTACCTGTATACCCAGCATAAACTTTGTACCCGTCAACTAATAAATCCCGACCAAACTTAAAATTATGTTCTTGTAAAAGGATAACCTGTACCCCATATCGCCTTAAAAAGGCACTGAACATCCTCCTCTTCACTTCGGCCCTGAGACCATTTATATTCAATGTTAAACACTTAAAAATGCTAACGGGGGCTTACCAATCGATCTCTTACCATGTGTTTCTTTACGTTTTTGATCAGTATTCTTTTCACTATGCCCGTTCCTAGTCACGTCTTTCTCTTCCTCTTACCCCTCCCCCCCCTGACTTTCCTAGCCACATCCACTGTTTGTTTTTTACCCGAACGTTGTGCAGGCGTAAGAATATCATCACTGTCCGAGGCACCTGCCTCCCTCTTACGTGAAGCCGCAACAGTAATCATTTCTTTCGGACTGCCTTCCTTGTGTATTTCAACTAACAGTTTCACAGAGCCTTGTGTTTGCCCATCCCTCCTACTCACATTGCCTCCCTCATGTACCCCTCCCTGATTCATATGTTGCTCTTGCAAGCCTATATTCAGCATTCCAGCTTCATGCTGATCATCCAAAAATTCCTGTTATAACATTATTTATGGCAGCCGACACTTCACTACCAAAATTTCCATTGTTCCAACTCTTCCTCCATACATATTTTCTCAACGTCCTGTGTTACCTCCGGTAACGTAGCACACTCCTCTGGACTGTCATTCACAATCTCACTCCACGTCCTACGTGCCCGAATATGTTCTCCTGTAGACTGGGACATCACCTCTCTTTCCTTTTCCCCTCCTGTCCCTGCTCCCTGTGACCCGGTCGACGAACGTCGTGGACACTGCAGCCACATGTTCAAATGCACTACGCAATCGACAGGTTCTCCTTTGCCCGATATGTGACATATACCTGAGTTTTAAAATCACTCAAAGCCACAAATGAAGGTATGGATCGTCGCAAGGACATTTTGAGAGTGAAAGATCCCTCACGCAGTCCCGCATACATACCATCTGACCATCGTCCAATCGTTGCTTGATGTATCACTCCATATTCCTAAACGACGCTTTGATGTCTTCTTCATCCGCCTCAAAGGGAACATTCCGTATTTTTACCCAAGTATAGTACTTAGACACGTCCCTCATTCTCACTTCCAAACCAGGGTTAACTGTCATACACACATCCTGGTACTGATCCACAATCTTGTCATACGTCACAGTCTTCACAAATATTCTCGATGAGCCGTTTAATGCAATGCCGTACAGATCTTCATTGTTTATTCCAAATGTATCTCGTAAGATAGCAGGCAGTAGAACAGATGCATTTGTGTTATACACCGCACCTTTCAGCACTTCTATGCACACAGTGTTGACACGTCTCCTGATAGCCTGCGCCATCTTGAGAAAATCTCCCAGTGCTACCAACAGGCAGAAGCACAACAGCCAACGTCCGTTCTCCACCAAGGGTGTGTGACGAATGCAAGATCTAAGGTGCAGCACAACCTCCCGGCCCGAAAGCGAAGAGGTCAATGTGTTCAGAGTTGGTTCTATGTGGGATATCTGAAAATACCTTAGAAAACTGAGAGCAATTACAACACTACCCGCTCGTGGCATGGTTAGTAATCACATTACTTGAACATTATTATCAGTGGATAATTCTGAATTAATATTCACATGTGATGACCTATCCGAGTTATCTAAAGTGATTATATCCGGACATCTTCCTGGATCACATCTGAAATAACAGAAATGTAAACATCTAATTTTCATGCACTTATAATCCTGCCTACTTGTGGGTACTAGCACAGGTAGAGGTCCTGCTAGTATCCAAGCACTGCCCACTCATTATCCTGGGTACTACCACAGGTAGAGGCCCTGCTAGTATCCAAGCACTGCCCACTCATTATCCTGGGTATAGCACAGGTAGAGGTCCTGCTAGTATCCAAGCACTGCCCAACTCATTATCCTGGGTACTAGCACAGGTAGAGGTCCTGCAGTATCCAAGCACTGCCCACTCATTATCCTGGGTACTAGCACAGGTAGAGGTCCTGCTAGTAATCCAAGCACTGCCCACTCATTATCCTGGGTACTAGCACAGGCAGAGGTCCTGCATAGTATCCAAGCACTGCCCACTCATTATCCTGGGTACTAGCACAGGTAGAGGTCCTGCTAGTATCCAAGCACTGCCCACTCATTATCTGGGTACTAGCACAGTAGAGTCCTGCTAGTATCCAAGCACTGCCCACTCATTATCCTGGGTACTAGCACAGGTAGAGGTCCTGCTAGTATCCAAGCACTGCCCACTCATTATCCTGGGTACTAGCACAGGTAGAGGTCCTGCTAGTATCCAAGCACTGCCCACTCATTATCCTGGGTACTAGCACAGGCAGAGCCCTGCTAGTATCCAAGCACTGCCCACTCATTATCCTGGGTACTAGCACAGGTAGAGGTCCTGCTAGTATCCAAGCACTGCCCACTCATTATCCTGGGTACTAGCACAGGTAAGTCCTGCTAGTATCCAAGCACGCCCACTCATTATCCTGGTTACTAGCACAGGTAGAGGCCTGCTAGTATCCAAGCACTGCCCACTCATTATCCTGGGTACTAGCACAGGTAGAGGTCCTGCTAGTATCCAAGCACTGACCCACTAATTATCCTGGGTACTAGCACAGGTAGAGGCCCTGCTAGTATCAATAGCACTGCCCACTCATTATCCTGGGTACTAGCACAGGTAGAGGTCCTGCTAGTATCCAAGCACTGCCCACTCATTATCCTGGGTACTAGCACAGGTAGAGGCCCTGCTAGTATCCAAGCACTGCCCACTCATCATCCTGGGTACTAGCACAGGTAGAGGCCCTGCTTAGTATCCAAGCACTGCCACTCATTATCCTGGGTGCTAGCACAGGCAGAGGCCCTGCTATATCCAAGCACTGCCCACTCATTATCCTGGGTACTAGCACAGGTAGAGGCCCTGCTAGTATCCAAGCACTGCCCACTCATTATCCTGGGTACTAGCACAGGTAGAGGCCCTGCTAGTATCCAAGCACTGCCCACTCATCATCCTGGGTACTAGCACAGGTAGAGGCCCTGCTAGTATCCAAGCACTGCCCACTCATTATCCTGGGTGCTAGCACAGGCAGAGGCCCTGCTAGTATCCAAGCACTGCCCACTCATTATCCTGGGTACTAGCACAGGTAGAGGCCCTGCTAGTATCCAAGCACTGCCCACTCATTATCCTGGGTACTAGCACAGGTAGAGTCCCTGCAAGTATCCAAGCACTGCCCACTCATTATCCTGGGTACTAGCACAGGTAGAGGTCCTGCTAGTATCCAAGCACTGCCCACTCATTATCCTGGGTACTAGCACAGGTAGAGGTCCTGCTAGCATCCAAGCACTGCCCACTCATTATCCTGGGTACTAGCACAGGTAGAGGTCCTGCTAGTATCCAAGCACTGCCCACTCATTATCCTGGGTACTAGCACAGTAGAGGTCCTGCTAGTATCCAAGCACTGCCCACTCATTATCCTGGGTACTAGCACAGGTAAGGTCCGCTAGTATCCAAGCATGCCCACTCATTATTCTGGGTACAAGCACAGGCAGAGCCCTGCTAGTATCCAAGCACTGCCCACTCATTATCCTGGGTACTAGCACAGGTAGAGGCCCTGCTAGTATCCAAGCACTGCCCACTCATTATCCTGGGTACTAGCACAGGTAGAGGCCCTGCAAGTATCCAAGCACTGCCCACTCATTATCCTGGGTACTAGCACAGGTAGAGGTCCTGCTAGTATCCAAGCACTGCCCACTCATTATCCTGGGTACTAGCACAGGTAGAGTCCTGCTAGCATCCAAGCACTGCCCACTCATTATCCTGGGTACTAGCACAGGTAAGGTCCTGCTAGTATCCAAGCACTGCCCACTCATTATCCTGGGTACTAGCACAGGTAGAGGTCCTGCTAGTATCCAAGCACTGCCCACTCATTATCCTGGGTACTAGCACAGGTAGAGGTCCTGCTAGTATCCAAGCACTGCCCACTCATATTCTGGGTACAAGCACAGGCATGATGGCCCTGCTAGTATCCAAGCACTGCCCACTCATACCTGGGTACTAGCACAGGTAGAGGTCCTGCTAGTATCCAAGCACTGCCCACTCATTATCCTGGTACTAGCACAGGTAGAGGTCCTGCTAGTATCCAAGCACTGCCCACTCATTATCCTGGGTACTAGCACAGGTAGAGGTCCTGCTAGTATCCAAGCACTGCCCACTCATTATCCTGGGTACTAGCACAGGTAGAGGCCCTGCTAGTATCCAAGCACTGCCCACTCATTATCCTGGGTACTAGCACAGGTAGAGGTCCTGCTAGTATCCAAGCACTGCCCACTAATTATCCTGGTACTAGCCAGGTAGAGGCCCTGCTAGTATCAAAGCACTGCCCACTCATTATCCTGGGTACTAGCACAGGTAGAGGTCCTGCTAGTATCCAAGCACTGCCCACTCATTATCCTGGTACTAGCACAGGTAGAGGCCCTGCTAGTATCCAAGCACTGCCCACTCATCATCTGGGTACTAGCACAGGTAGATGGCCCTGCTAGTATCCAAGCACTGCCCACTCATTATCCTGGTGCTAGCACAGGCAGAGGCCCTGCTATATCCAAGCACTGCCCACTCATTATCCTGGGTACTAGCACAGGTAGAGGCCCTGCTAGTATCCAAGCACTGCCCACTCATTATCCTGGGTACTAGCACAGGTAGAGGCCCTGCTAGTATCCAAGCACTGCCCACTCATCACCTGGGTACTAGCACAGGTAGAGGCCCTGCTAGTATCCAAGCACTAGCCCACTCATTATCCTGGGTGCTAGCACAGGCAGAGGCCCTGCTAGTATCCAAGCACTGCCCACTCATTATCCTGGGTACTAGCACAGGTAGAGCCCTGCTAGTATCCAAGCACTGCCACTCATTATCCTGGGTACTAGCACAGGTAGAGGCCCTGCAAGTATCCAAGCACTGCCCACTCATTATCCTGGGTACTAGCACAGGTAGAGGTCCTGCTAGTATCCAAGCACTGCCCACTCATTATCCTGGGTACTAGCACAGGTAGAGGTCCTGCTAGCATCCAAGCACTGCCCACTCATTATCCTGGGTACTAGCACAGGTAGAGGTCCTGCTAGTATCCAAGCACTGCCCACTCATTTATCCTGGTACTAGCACAGGTAGAGGTCCTGCTAGTATCCAAGCACTGCCCACTCATTATCCTGGGTACTAGCACAGGTAGAGGTCCTGCTAGTATCCAAGCACTGCCCACTCATTATTCTGGGTACATGCACAGGCAGAGGCCCTGCTAGTATCCAAGCACTGCCCACTCATTATCCTGGGTACTAGCACAGGTAGAGGTCCTGCTAGTATCCAAGCACTGCCCACTCATTATCCTGGGTACTAGCACAGGTAGAGGTCCTGCTAGTATCCAAGCACTGCCCACCTTTATCCTGGGTACTAGCACAGGTAGAGGCCCTGCTAGTATCCAAGCACTGCCCACTCATTATCCTGGGTACTAGCACAGGTAGAGGCCCCGCTAGTATCCAAGCACTGCCCACTCATTATCCTGGGTACTAGCACAGGGAGAGGCCCTGCTAGTATCCAAGCACTGCCCACTCATTATCCTGGGTACTAGCACAGGTAGAGGCCCTGCTAGTATCCAAGCACTGCCCACTCATTATCCTGGGTACTAGCACAGGTAGAGGCCCTGCTAGTATCCAAGCACTGCTCACTCATTATCCTGGGTACTAGCACAGGTAGAGTCCTGCTAGTATCCAGCCCTGCCACTCATTATCCTGGGTACTAGCACAGGTAGAGGCCCTGCTAGTATCCAAGCACTGCCCACTCATCATCCTGGGTACTAGCACAGGTAGAGGTCCTGCTAGTATCCAAGCACTGCCCACTCATTATCCTGGGTACTAGCACAGTAGAGGCCCTGCTAGTATCCAAGCACTTGCCCACTCATTATCCTGGGTGCTAGCACAGGCAGAGGCCCTGCTAGTATCCAAGCACTGCCCACTCATTATCCTGGGTACTAGCACAGGTAGAGGCCCTGCTAGTATCCAAGCACTGCCCACTCACTATCCTGGGTACTAGCACAGGTAGAGGCCCTGCTAGTATCCAAGCACTGCCCACTCATTATCCTGGTACTAGCACAGGTAAGGTCCTGCTAGTATCCAGCACTGCCCACTCATTATCCTGGGTACTAGCACAGGTAGAGGTCCTGCTAGTATCCAAGCACTGCCCACTCATTATCCTGGGTACTAGCACAGGTAGAGGCCCTGCTAGTATCCAAGCACTGCCCACTCATTATCCTGGGTACTAGCACAGGCAGAGGCCCTGCTAGTATCCAAGCACTGCCCACTCATTATCCTGGGTACTAGCACAGGTAGAGGCCCTGCTAGTATCCAAGCACTGCCCACTCATTATCCTGGGTACTAGCACAGGTAGAGGTCCTGCTAGTATCCAAGCACTGCCCACTCATTATCCTGGGTACTAGCACAGGTAGAGGCCCTGCTAGTACCAAGCACTGCCCACTCATTATCCTGGGTACTAGCACAGGCAGAGGCCCTGCTAGTATCCAA